TTGGAGCTCTTCTTTTTAAGTTTTTTTTTTTTTTTTAAAGATATGTGACAGGTCATCGTGAACTATAGTCACCCTTCTTTTCCCATCCTAAGAAAAAAATCAGACTTGGAGTTAATGTGACAGATGGCATCAACTTTCTAGTGTGATCATGGACTAGATGTTAGGTTATCGGCTTGATATCCCAGCACACTGTGGAGAAGACTGGGGTCCTCACTGGGACTTGGCTCCTTAGGACTGCTGATGTTGAGGGTTATTTTGGAAGACTTCTTGAGAAAAGGAAAGTATTATTGACCTTGGGACGAGATAGATCTGCGTTTGAATCTTGGCACAGCAATGTATTAGAAGGCTAAAATCTAGGACATTTTGTGCAATAAAGCAAACAATGATGATTTAACAAAGAATGGATTACAACACATAAAAATAAATTCCCATGAGTCCATCTTACTCTAAATAAAGAATCAAATAAGTAGGCCTGGGGTCCATTAGTGGCACTTGCCTAGCAGGCACAATGCCTTGACTTCAAACCCCAGTATTACAACCAATGGATAAATGACTAAATGATTACATAGAGAAGAACAGACAGCTCTTCCTTATGGTAGAATTTTGGTTTAAAAATAGAGAGTGAATGATGAAAACAGAAAAATCATTTACAGGGAAATTATAATGATTGTTTTGAGTAAGAATTTATTCATACATGCTAAAATTAGTGGGCAAAAGTATGAAAACCAAAATACATCATCTCAAATATCGCCCCTAAAGATTCTCAATAACTACAAAAGGAAAAATAGTAATTTTCCTTACAGAAACTTTGTATAAAACACCATAGCTAGGAGGTAAGAGTTAATACCATCAATCAGGGAGCCATATCAATATCCTTTGATCTCCAATTGCACCCTGAGAAGGGCATAGCGTCACTCTTGTAATTTCTTGCCCAGACTGTATAAGCTGAATTGAATCATGAAAAAACGCTATGTGAACATAAACTGAAGATCATTCTATCAACACTTAGCATGAACTTTACAAAGTGCCAGTGTCATGAAAGACAAAGACAGAACCATCAGCAGTTGAAGGAGGGAAGGAGATGTGGCAGCTAACGGCAATGTGGAATCCTGGATTGGATCCCGGACCATCAAAGGAAAGTTAATAAGAAAATGGATTAAAATCAAGTCAGGTCCGTAGTAAATGGTATTGTATCAATGAAACATTTTAAACAGCTATGCTATGGTTCTAGAAGATGCTAATATATTAGGAAGCAAATCCTAAATACTTGTGAGACAGAAATCAGGGGGATTGTGATACATAGCCAGTGTAGGCAGAAAATGAGTGCGACTCCCCATCTCAACAAGCTGTAGGAGTGAGTAGGCAAAAGTGAGATCTTATCTGAAAAACAACCTAAGGCAAAAAAGATTGGTGGTGTGTCTCAAGTGGTAGAGTACTTGCTTACTAAACCCAAGGCCCTGCGTTCAAACCCCAATACTGCCAATAACAACCACAAAAAATTAGGAAGCTACGTGAAGATTTCATGAGGAATTCTTTGTACTTTTTGGTTTGTTTGCTTGTTTGAAGTCACAAGGTATTTACTATACAACCCAGGCTGGCCTTGAACTCCCTATGTAGTCCAGGCTGGCCTCAAACTCATGATCTTCCTGCATGGGTTTTCTTTGTGCTAAGATTACAGGCATGAGCCTCACACTCAGTCTTTTTGTACTATTTTTGCAACTGTTTTCCTGGTCTCAAATTGTTTCTGAAAGGAAGAAAAAGAAAGAAAGAAACAAAGTAGAAACAAAGACAAAGAAGGGAGAAAGAAAGAAGAAAAGAAAAAAGTAGCCATTGGAAAATCCTCTGAATCCTACTTTTCCTGTATTATCTTCCTGGCACTGTGCCAAAATAACTGACATAAGAGGAAACATTTGCCTCACAGTTTCAGACCATGATCACTTGGCTCCATTGCCCTTTGGTCTATGTGGTTTAGAACATCATGATTGGACCAAGTGATGTTGGAGGAAGTGACGGGGAAGCTGCTGACCTCATGGCAGACAAGAAGGAAGTGAGGGGAGAAAGAATGAGAATGAGAAGGGCTCCTAACATCTTAACATTCCATTCAAGGTCATGCTTCTAATGGCCCAACTTTCTTTAAGTAGGCCCTTTCCCAACAGTGCTACAGGCTGGGGGCCAAACCTTTGATCTATGGTGTTCTCAGGCTATTTAAGATCCAAACTATAGAATTCTTCATCTGTACAATAGGGGAATCATCTCAACCTACTTCATAGTGTCATGAAGAGAAAATGGAATATTTCAAAATGAATCATGAATGTATTATCTATAAAATTATTTTTATTGTTAGCAATGGTATTCAACTATCTTGAGCTGCTAAAATCTTCAGAAGAGTTCCATGCAAATGAAAAAATACATCTGGGTCCAAGCAACTTCCAGCCATTAAGTTTGACCTTGTCCAAAGAAATAATACCAGCTTTGTGTCTGGTTGGCTGTTGTCAAGGAGATAGCTTTGGATTGCCCAAACAACTGATGGGAGTGACATCACCTCCAGGCTTGGCAGAAATTAAAACCAGAGACAGACAGGGCAAGGCCTCTGTTCCTGACTATGAGACCACTACTGTAGTGGGAAAAACAAGTTCCTATATAGCCTGTCCTTTGTGCAATTGATTCAATTTTCAGTTTCTTGATTTACTAAGAGTTCAGTGCATAACTCAGGAACATGGTCTGAATAGGGCAATGAATTAATCTGAATGAGAGCTTCTTACGGATTCTTCCTTATAGTTTCCAAAGTGTCTAATTAGAGAATGCCAGCATGTAAGACTGACATTTTCAGCTCAGTTATACATGGAAAAATTAAGATATAGCAAGGGGATAAACTGTACTGTCCACACTAGGGTCATTATTTAGCTTCCTTGAATGAGTTGCCCAAGGAGTAGAAACTGGTGAGTATGTCACTTAAATACTGTGTTGTCTAGATGTGAGTATATGTTACTTTTACCTTCTAAGGTAGAAAAAAAATGGGGGGGGGGGCTGGGAAGATGGCTCAGTGGTAGAGTGCTTGCCTTGCATGCCTGAGGCCCTGGGTTTGATTCCTCATCACCACATAAGCAAAAAGAAAAAAAAAGCCGGAGGTGGCGCTGTGGCTCAAGTGGTAGAGTGCTAGCCTTGAGCTGAAGAGCTGAGGGACAGCGCCCAGGCCAGAGTTCAGGCCCCACGACTGGACCCAAAAAAAAAAAATGGGGACACACAGGCTGTGTAAAATAGTTAAGTGCATTGAAAATCAGAGAGAACTGAACTGTGGCATTCCTAAAGATATCTCAGGTCAGCCTCACAAAATCGTTGCAGGATAGGTACTAGCCTATTTTCCAGACTGATTTGATCAAGCCATTCATTCATCTAACACATATTTTTAAACATCTGTTGATTTGTAGGCACAATGTTGTCATAGAGGACCTAGCAGTGAACACAATTCCTGCCCTATGCCCTCCATAGCCGCAAAAAGAAGATATTGGAAAAACAGAAATATATATTTGCAAGGGTGGTTAAGTGCTACAAAGGAAAAGTATGGATTTCTCAGATTATAAGAAAGGGATGGATTTAGCTTAGAGCAGTAGGAAAGACCTCCTTTGGGGAGTAATTGAGCAACTAGTTAAAGAATGAGGAAACAGAGATTGGTGACTTGTTGGTGATTACAGGGCAGTCACCACCATTCTCTGGTCTACTCATTTTTGAAAATTACTTTCATCCAGGACTCTCCCAATGAAGAACAAGAAGCAACACTGGAGAAAGGTTGATTCAAGAATTCACTGTCACGCTGGGCATTGGTGGCTCCTACCCATAATTCTAGTTACTCAGGAGGCTGAGATCTAAGTTTCGCATTTCAAAGCCAGCCTGGGCAGACTCTGATCTCCAATTAATCACCAGAAAACCGGAAGTGGTGGAGTGACTCAAGTGGTAGAGTGCTCACCTAGAGCTGAAGAGCTCAGGGCCAGTGCCCAGGCTCAGAGTTCAAGCCCTACTACCGACAAAAAAATGGGAAGAATTCACCGTCCATACCACAAAACTAAGAAAAGTAAGGGAAAGAGTTAATTGAAAGGGGTGGTGGTAAGAATGTTGAAGGAGTGTAACACTGATCAAGATGCATTGCATTTATACACTGCTTTGTTAAATGATAGCTTCTTCGTACAACTAAAAGATAATAAAAAAATTAAGAAAAAAAGTACCTAGGTGTTTGGTAATTGCCGTGTCATTTGAGAGGGAGAAGGAAGCCCTGTTTCAGAGAGTCTAGATCTAGTTGGCAGAAGCCCCTGCTAGGGTTTGCGTTGACAGTAAACTTCCTTTGCATTACTTTGGGTCAAGTCGTTTTCGTCTCTCTAGGCCTCAGTTTACTCATTGCAGTTGTAGGCGAGTCCTCACAGCCACGAAGCATCGTGGAGGCTCGGAGTGGGAGTGCGGCTCACCTTTTGGCTCAGGGATTGCTTCCAACAGAGTGAGAATTACGGCTTCCCTTAGTGCTCTGCAGGCAGGATTTTTCAAAAAGGGAGGCAACATGCCATTATCTGAGCCTCCAGGCAGAAGCCTTTTGGATGCCAAATAGTGTGTGTGTGTGGTCACTGTTCCAAGGAAAACATTGTGTGTGTGTGTGTGTGTGTGTGTGTGTGTGTGTGTGTGGTCACTGTTCCAAGGAAAACAAAACTCCGAGTTGGGACGCCACAGTAAGGGAAGCTGGGCTTCCTTTTCCCGCTTAAATGAACATACCTTGTTGGGCTTTCACCCTTAACAAAGATGGCGTCCCTCCTGGCCTCGGCCGCCGTGCCCTCGCAAAAGATGGCCGCGAGCCTGTCATTCTGTAGTCTAACCGGCCCAAGCGCCAAGGCACTGCCCTTAGTTAAGATGGCGGCCGCCCACTCTTCCCTGCCTGGCTTCGGCGGCGCGGCTTCACCGCGCGCGCGCGCGCCCTGCTGACCCCGCCCCGTTTCCGTAGGAAGAAGCCCTGGCAAACATGGCGGCCGCTGTGGTTTGAATTCCAGCGGCGCCTCCTGACTCGGAACAAGAGCTGGGCCGGAGGGGGCGGGACCTGAGAGTCCGGGCGGGTCGCTGCAGCCGAGGAGCCGGCGGCGCCAGCGCCGCAGTCGTTGATGCCTACGTCGCCTTTGCGTCCGCGATGGACTCGGTTTTGGAAGAGGACGTCACCCTCCCCGGGACGCTCAGCGGCTGCAGGTGCGGCCCGGGCCGGGGCCTCGGGCTGACCGGGCCGGGGTGCCCGCCCGCGGGGTGCGGGGGGGAGCGTCTCTGACGCGCGCGGCCTGGGGGTTTGCTTCAGGTGTTCGGCCGGGGGCGGGGTGGGGGGCGGCCTCTCTGATTGGGGTCTGGGGCCTGACGGGCACCGTGCTAGACTCGGCTCGGGGCCTTTCCCGTGAAAGGGGCACGGAGGACAGGCAGATAGACTGGGAGGAGGGGACCGCTTGGAGGGTATGCCCTTCGTGGGGGGCTTGGGGGGGCGGGGACTTAGAGGACACCTGAGGATTCATTCCGCCTTTGGGAGTTTTGCGTTCGTTATGAAGTATAGGCTTTGCTTAGCTTATGGAGTGTGTGTGTGTAGGGGGGTGTCCCATGGTGACCCACCGTATAGGGCCGGCCGAGTGCGGTTGTTAATTGTCTTGGCTGGAGATGGTTAGCACTGGATTCAAACCCGGCCTCTGTAAGGTGACTCCCTGGGTGACCCGGGCAAAGTGACTTGACTCACTTTCCTATCTGTAACGCGGGCCAGGACTATCCACCCAACAGAATTGGGGTGAAGATCAAAAGAAGCATTAGCTGCCCTGCAGTTCCTTTGGTACTTAACCAAGTGCCTGGCATACCATCAGGGTTGAAAGAATGACACTGTATTGCTGTTATTATTACAGGTTGGGTATCCCTGATCCAAAATGCTTTGGACTAGAAATGTTTCAGATTTTGGATTATTTTGAAGTTTTAGAATATTTTTGCGTGTGTGTGTGTGTGTGTGTGTGTGTGTGTGTGTGTGTGTGTGTCTCACACACACCTACATCTGAGATGTCTTGAAAATAGGACCCAAGTCTGAACTTGGAATTGATTTATGTTTCCTATACACCCAGTATACCAAGCAGTAGGCCTTAATTTTGACTGTGACACCCATCATGTGCAGTCAGGAGGTGTGGAATTTTCCACTTGTAGCCAACACGATCCAATGCAAAAAGTTTTGATATTGGAGCATTTTGGGTTTGGGATTTTCCGATTAGGGATATTCAACCTGTGTTGTCAGTAGTGGTGGGAATGATCTGAAGGGGGCCTTCCAGGGAAGCTGCTCCAAGTGGCCATGGGGGTCCTCTCTGGTGGGGCCCAGATCTTTTCTTCTGGTAGGCCCTGGACTGCTCCAGGCTGGGTCCTCTGATTGTCCTGGGCTTCTGGTAGGAGGGATTGCAGAAAGAAGAGGAAGAGAACTGGACTTAAAACCTGCAGTGTTTATTTAGTTCTGTAGGACAGGCTGCTGTGTTTAGCCTGTAAAGCCTAAATGTTAGGGACCATGTTGTTCATTGTGCAAACTAGGATGCTTTTTTTTTTGGCTAGTTCTTGGACTTGAACTCAGAGCCTCTTGCTCTGCATGACTTGCTTTTATACCTTGATGATAAGCTAGGAATAGAGGTCTTATCTTTGGCAGACCTGGTAAATGGTTACTGTGTTCATTCATAGCTTCTAGGTATCAGGCACAGAGATAGGCCTTTCAAGCTCCTGTCTAAGCCAATATGAAATTGCTCATCACAGTTTGCTGATACTTTTTTTTTTTTTTTTGGTTAGTTATGGGGCTTGAACTCTGGGCCTGGGCACTGTCCCTCAGCTCTTCAGCTCAAGGCAAGCGCTCTACCACTTGAGCCACAGCACCACTTCTGGCTTTTTGGTAGTTAGAGTTAAGAGTCACACAGACTTTCCTGCCCTGATTGGCTTTGAATCACAATTCTCAGATCTCAGCCTCCTGAATTGCGAGGATTCTACGTGTGAGCTACCAGCACCCTGTTTTTCATGTTTCCTATTGCCGTTCAGTAAAGTTCACCACTACTCTGAGATCTGGTCTTTTCACTTCAGTGTTTACTGGTCCCACATCAGCTTTCAGACCTAGACCCAGCTGGAGTTCAAGTCTTAGGTCTGCCATTTAACAACCTTGTGACCTTAGACAAGTCACTCATCTTGGGAGCCTGAGTTTAAAAATTAAAAAAAAATGTTATTATAAAGGTGATGTACAGAGGGGTTTTTAGGTACATAAGTCAGGTAATGAGTACATTTCTTTTTGGATAATGTCACCCCTTCCCTTGCTCTCTCCCAGTTTTTCTCTCCTGTCCCCACCATTAATTGTCCATATAGTGTCTAGTGATTACTACTGTTGCATTTTTTCACCCTTTTCCCACCATTTCTGTGCCCCTCTTACCCTCTCAAAGACAGATATGTGAATGAATGACAAAAAGAAAAACAAAAGCAACAACAACAAAAAACTTGTTTCCATTTCCTGGGTTCATTTTGATAAATATTATTTTATATGCATTGTGTCTTTGTGTTCTTCCTCTAAGAGTATCCTTTGGAACTTCAGTTTTTTTTTGTCACCTGTAATGTAGGTTGATGTACAGCCCAGGGCTGGCATAAGAAATAGAATGACTCTAAAAAGGCCTCGCTGCTGTCTCCTTCAGCTTCTTTGCCACCTCCCCTTGCCTTTTCAGGCAGATGATGACAGAGAAGGCACCCCTAGAAGGAAAGTCACCTGTTTTATTCTAATATGGTACTTTCTGAGACCTTCTGCCTGTGGCTTCCACACTTTGAAAGATTGAACTGGAGTCCAGTTTTATCCCTTAGACTCACTTGGATTAGGGTAATGTGTGCTGTTGCCTTTGATCCTTATCCCTGCTGGTGTCCTTGACTGCTCTGGCTCCATGTTATTACGGCCTAGACTTTGGACCCAGAGACCCCACTCAAGCCCAGATCTTTAAATCTTGCTGGGTAGAGTGGTAAGAGGCTGGCTTTGGGGGTTGTGTGAGCGGGGTCTACATTCTAGTTCAGCCAGGTGTGTGGCTGGAGTTAGTCCTCAACCCTTGGAACCTATGGTCTCTTTGAAGATAATGCGTGTTTCATTGATGGCCACCTGGATGATGTGAGAGCTTATATAATAAGTGCCTGGTACCAATGGGGGAGAGTGGAATGTTAGCTCTTTTTGTCAGATTTGTCCCATGGCACACTATTTCCCAGACAGGACCCTATGCGCTGCAGCTCTGGGTCCTGCTCTTCATTTGTATGCCCAAGAGCCTGCCTTTCCCAACCATGAGCCTTCTAAGCCTGAAACTAGGCATTGTCATCCATGGGGTCCTTCAGCACATTGCCATTTGATGGCTTGCTGCTTGGTTAGGAACAGATTGGAGAGAAAAGTTTTTCTGTGAGCACAGTTTGCACTTCTAGGGCAGAGAGCCTTCATGGGCACTAATTTCAGGAAAGGGTGACCTTTGGGGCATCCTGGGGGGCTGGGAGGAGAGCATATTGGTTTGTTTCCCACTTCTGGTGTTTGGTGTTAATTGGCAGTTAGAGTCTCATGGAGTCTCATGGAGAAGCAGAAGCTTCTCAACGTTTACATGTTTATGTTAAATCAAAGTTAATTCTGCAATCCTAGCTACTTTGGAGGCAGAGATTGGGAGGATTACACTTCTAGGCCAGCCTGGGTACACAAGTTTTGGAAGACTTCATCTCAACAGGGAAAACATGAGCACACTTCTGTCATCCTAGCCGCTAAAGACATATGAAGATGTTGGTCCAGCAAGTTGAGGCAAAAAGCAAGACCCTATTCAAGAAATAACCAGAGCAGAAATAGTGATGAAGGTGGGTGTAATGGTAGTATGCTTGCCTAGCAAGTGTGGAGCTCTGGGCCCAGAAGCCCAGCACTGCCCAAACCCAAACCAGAGTCTATTTGTGAAACATTTCAAACAAAAATAAAAAAGGGGTAGGTAGGTATATCAGTGGAAAGATCACTGAAGGGAATGATTGAATAGAGAAATATTCATTTCTAGCATGCTGTTTAGAGAGTTATACACAGTTGGCACTGCAAAGGCTTCTACTTCATTAATTATGACCCCATGTGTGCGTTAGATAAGAATCTTCTATCAGGTTATATCAAGACAGGTGAGAGTGGATTTGGTGTGAAGTCTGAGACGGAGTCCTAGCATAGTGGTTTGGGTTCATGTTTTAGGTGATGGTGGTTTCTGACTTTTTACTTTTCACAGCAGGTGGTGTGTTTCTCCTTCCTTCTATGTGAGCATGGAAAACTTCGGCATCTTAGTTGGTGTGGAGTACCCTAGGATCGTACCCCCGGTGCCCAGCACGCCAGCTCTCAGTGAAGCGTGCTTTTAAAGGTGAAGGTGTACCAACCCTTAGAGCTCTCCAGGCTTCAGGAGGCTTATGTAGAATCCCAACTGTTTAGGCCAGAGGTGTGGTCAGATTCTTTCTGGCAAAAGTTTATATAAGCCAAGAAGTAGAAGTGACAAATTTCTTGACTTCCCATTGTAACTGTTGATGGGCTAAGTGGATACCAAAAACCGCTTCTCTCTTCAAGAAAGAGTTGAAATTAGGCCAGCCTCTGGTGACTCACATCTGTAATCCTAGCTACTCAGAGGCTGAGATCTGTGGGTCACGATTCAAAACTGGCCTGGGTAGACAAATCTGAGAGACTCTTTTCCAGCAAAAACCCTGAAGTAGAGGTATAGCTCAAGAGAGAGAGTGCCAGCCTTGAGTAAAAAAGCCAAGTAAGGCCCCAAGGCCCTGAGTGCAAACCCTAGTTCCAGCACGTGAGACGCGCATGTGCGCACGCGCGCGCGCGCACACACACACACACACACACACACACACACACACACACACACACACACAGAATTGAGTTTAGATCTTTACACAGAGAGCTTAAAAATGAAGAAAGTAGTGTTTTATGTCCCTTTTTGTCTACATAACTTAAAAAGGAACATGTTTTCTTATCTATATATGAAATATCTTAGCTATAAATTCATCCTCATGTAAAATTCCAATTTTGCCAATCCTTCCCAGGAAAGAAGTTCTGCTGACTTTATATCGGTTTCTTATTCATTTTATTTGAATGAAAGATTGACAATAGCACTATATAAATACTGGAATACTGGATTTTTCTCTTCTGGACATTTCGTGTGAATGGTGTCTTACAGTGTGTGCTGCTTTGTGAAATTCATCCGTGTGTATAAGCCGGTGTAAATTCTTCATTCCTCTTTATGATCAAATAATATTGCATCATGCTCATGTGACATATTTTGTTTATTCATATCAATGGACATTTGGATTGTTTTTATTGTTTGTCTATTAGGAATTGTGTTGCTGTGAACATTTATTTGTGTGTAGTTTTTGTGTGAGCATCTTTTTTTCACTTCTCTTGATTTTACCCAGGAGTAGAATGGCTGGATCACATGGTAACTTTAACATTTGGAAGAAACTGTCCACTCAGTTCCAAAATTGCATTGTCACTTGCTTCTACCAGAAGTGTTGAAAGTTCGAGTTTCTTTCACCTCTTACCAGTACTTGTGTCTTTTTGACTTTAGCTATCTTTTGAGTGACATTGTATCTCAATGTGGAATTACTTTACACATCTGTAATGACTAATGACATGAATATTTTTTCATGTGTTTATTTGCCATTTGAATGCCTTGGTGCACTGTCTTAGCAGAACCTTTGCCTCAGTTAAAAGATGTGGCTACATCTTGATCTAGCAATTGCATTTGCTGTCTGACCTAGAGACCCCTACATGTGCATGATGGGACTTGTATAAAGGCACTTACTCAACACGGTTTGTAAAAGAAGAACTGGGCAAGCTGGAGTTCTGTCAGAAGGGGATTGGGAAGATAGACGATACACATCCTTCAGAAGAGTCTTCCAGACCCCTTGTGACCCATTGGTATCTCATAAATTCAATATCGTAGGTTGCTAGAAGGCTTTTAAGAAAGTAGAAGCCGGGCGCCAGTGGCTCATGCCTGTAATCCTAGCTATTCAAGAGGCTGAGATCTGGGGATCACGGTTGAAAGCCAGCCTGGGCAGGAAAAATCTGTGAGACTCTCTCCAATAAACCACTCAGAAAACCGGAAGTGGTGTTGTGGCTCAAGTGGTAGAGCACTAGCCTTGAGCTGAAGTGCTGAGGGACAGCCCCCAGGCTGTTCAAGCCCCACAACCAACAACAACAACAACAACAACAACAAAAAGGAAGTAGAAGAGAACAGAAATATATCAAGAACTAAGGAATTTGTTTATTGGTTGTGGTCAGTAAAGTGTACAAAACCCTGTTGTAGGATGCTTTGTAGGAGTTAAAGATTGAAGCAAGTCTGTTTATATGGCCATCCAATCATCTTTAGGTACTGGAGTTTGAACTTAGGGCCCCACTCCTAGGATATGTATTTAGTAGAGGGGAAGAGCTGTAGAATAGAATGTGTTTTTTGATTACAATTATTTTATTTTGAAGCCAGAAAATAAAACCTCTGTCTCTCTGATTATGAAGGACACAGTGTGCTGACATCAGGGACTTACCTCTTAGGAAGGGTGAGGGGTGGGGGTGACAGGTCACCTAGGAGAGCTTGTGTGCCTGTGTTTTTGGTTTCCATGTGGTTTTTCTCTTAAGAATGGATAGAGTAGTGGCAGAGCACTTGAGATGCCTAGGTCCTGAGTTCAAGCCCCAGTATTGAAAAGAAAAGAGGGAATAACACAGGATGGAAAAGGAATTCTGTGAGACAAAGAGCAGTGCACTTGTTTTCCAGTTGTGGTGTCCAGTTCCATGCCGGCTCTGAGAACACTGTGGGGTCTTGGAGTGCAAAAGGACAATTGTTGTCAGCCAGTGCAGACACAGGAGGGGGTGGCTCAGCGGGTGGCATTGGAGCAGGCCAGGAGGATGAGGTGATGTAGCACACAGCACTTAGTAGGACAACCTGCCTTGGTGGTGTCCATGTGCTGAGAGCAGCCCTCTGGTTCTGTTGATTCTGTCCTCACTACACTGCCCCCTGGAGGACTGGAAGGATGATGCAGGGGCACAGAGCATGGGATTTGAAATTAGCTTAGATTTTCCTCATTAAAAAATAATGGCAACAGGCAGTGGTGCTGTGGCTCAAGTGGTAGAGCTCTTGCCTTGAGCTGAAATGCTCAGGAACAGCGCCCAGGCCCAGAGTTCAAGCCTCACGACCAACCAAAAAACAACAGTTTGAGGCTGGAAATGTGGCTTAGTGGTACAGTGCTTGCCTAGCATGCAGGAAGTCCTAGGTTTGATTCCTCACTACCACATAAACAGAAAAAGCTGGAAGTGGTGCTATGGCTCAAGTGGTAAGAGTGCTAGCCTTGAGCACAGAGAGGCTCAGGGACAGAGCCCAGGCCCTGAGTTCAAGCCCCAGGACTGGCCAAAAAAAAATGGCAATACTTAAAAAAATGCTACCTATGGAGCCGGGCTGTGATGAGGTTTAAGTGGGAGACTGCTGTTCTGTCTGGAGCCTGGCCTGGCAGGCAGGTTTCCTATGACTAGGCTTTGTTTGGTCTGCCTGGAGGCCTGTGGCTCCACTTTGGGTTGTATTCCTGTGGGAGCTGTGGGTGGTCCTGCTCTGGGAGTCTGGGCTTTGGTCCTTATTTTGCTGCTATTCCTTTGTGATTTTGAGCAAGTTAAGTTCTTACTCCTTCTTGGGCCTCAGTCTTCCCTTCTGTATAACGATAAAATCATATCTAAGCCTTCTTTTGACTTTGTTCTTATATTGATGATAATTGGAAGAAATAGACAAGTTATCAAAAATTTAGGGGATGGAAAATGTGTCTTCTCTGCAAATAGTTTCTGGAATTTAGTACATTTCCTCTGTGTTGTTATATATTTATAGCCCACCTATTTCCAGAAAAAGATCTTTTTATGTATCTTTTCATGATTGAGGACATGTTTTCTTTAAGTTTTTTTCTCCCCCAGTTATCTTTATACTAGGTATATTTTGAGTAGTCATTTTCTTGGTGTTGGATTTTTATGGTATTTCTAATTTCTTTGCTCAGCTCTGATCCTGAAGGTCTATTCTAACTGCAAAGTTCAGTGATGAGAAAAATTGAGGAGCAGAATACATCTGGATTTGGAGGCAGGAAGAGAAACTGCCCAGAAGTTAGGCTTCCATCAATGCCTAGTTTGGGGGCTGAGGCCAGGAAGGACTTTGGAGGATTAGATATAAAAGGTCTCCATGTCCCTGCCACGTGACTATGACTGGGACACTGAAGTGGTCTGTACTGCAAAGCTTTCCTTTGAAAAATCACAGACCCTTGGGGAATTGGCAGCTCTGATGAGTAAATATTTTATAAATTTCGAGGCACTCTGTGCTTGAAGGTGACAATGATATTTTGTTCATGTTTACAGTGTGCTCATAGGATGCCAGGTACCTTGCTGGGCCCTTTGTATATCTTATTTAATTGCTAGTTCTGTGAAGGAGCTGCTGATTTTTCCTTACAGAGCTGAAGGAAGTAAGGCTTCCGGAGGTGCACACAGCGCTTAGAACAGAACCCAGCGTAATGCCTGTTATGGTTTAGTTTTCTGACAAATTCCCTGAATCCTTACCAAATGTCATATACTGGTTTATGTTAATCTGCCAGTACAGCTTCTTGAATCAGTGAATTCTTCATTTTTGCTTGACATTCTGAAAACATCTGACCTGGTGCCTGGGTCTTAGGAATTTAATTTTTGGTTGGGGAGGCTGGTTAATGACCCCAATGTTGATGAACAGAATCAAGGTATGCCCTAGTGTGCAGATGTTTCTATATAGTGACTGATTTCATCTTTACTGGTAGATGGTATCCCTGTTTAACAAGTAAAGAACATAGCTTTGTACTGGCACACAGCGCATGAAGGAAGCAATGAATGACCTTGACATCGCCCAAGGTCATAGAATTACTGAGTGTTAGATCTGGAAGTAAGTTCAACTCCAAGGCCTGAGTCCTTTATGCTTTGTACTTTTTTCCTTCTCAGGCAGCTCAGCTAGGTGAACCTCTGGCCATTGCTTGCTGACTGTCATGTGCTGTGCAGACAGTCATCTTGTTCAAGCACTAACTCATTTCTTTCCTGTGTTCTCTTCTAGTGGCCTGGTCTCCACTCTGCCAGATAATCTGAATGGCATCAGCATCAGTGCTGGCTTGGGAAATGGCGGTAAGTACACAACAGGTCTTGGGTAAGAGAAGGGGGAGTAAACTCAGACCATGAGCATTTGAGCTTGGGCTTCCATTATCCTGGGACCAGAGCCTACCTGGCCTGGCCAATAGTTGCTGCTCAGCTTCTTAGGTGCAGATTTACTCACTTGCTCTTCACTCCTTTCTGACCTTTACACTGTCCTTCAGGAGTTTTCCATCCAGCCACCGAGCTGGTAGGGATTCAGTGTTTGCTGAGCTGAGCAGCCTCTGAGGCTGTGCGTTGAAGTACAGACTAGACCCAGCACCAGGTTCTGTGGGTCTCCTTGACCTGTACATGGAGGCACAGGAGAGCTGCTCTCCGACTTCAGTGTGCCAAGGCCTCCCTGGCAGCCTGCTGGATTCTGTGCCATGGCCCTGCATTCCTGTTTGTGAAATAGCCAGTTAGATCACCGGAGACACGTGGCTGAGTAAATAATCACTTTATTGTGTCTTGGAGTTATGAGATCCCTTTTCAATCCGGGTCTTGCTGACCATTATTCATAATTTTCCTTTCTGAAAGAAGTTAACCTGTACTGGAAGTCTAGGTGGGCAGTGTTGATAATTTGCCTTGTTAAAATCTGAGGTATTTTGATTTAGTTTTTTTTTTTTTCCTATCCCCAAAGTGATGACATATGTGCAAAAAGAAGCTTTTAGGGCAGGCAGAACGAAGTATCAAAGTGTTTGTTTCTGGAACATTCTGTAACCTATAGGCCACCTTCAAGCTTTCCTTTGAGATTGTTTTTTACCTTAAAAAAAATCTGATGGTGATGAACCTAGTTTCTCCGCTTCCTGCGTGCAGGCAGTTGGAAGCAGAGGTAGTTAGGCCCACCCTCGTTCAGATGATGAGGTACATCTGCTTCCTGCCAGACTCTTGGATTCAACCTTGAACGACATTACCTTAGCTGAGAACACAGACCAAAGATATTATGATAAATCATAAGATCAGGCCAGGAGTGGAATGTAAGGTGCTCAGAGGAGGGGTGAGGGAGTCAGGTGAGAGGTCCCCAGCAAAGTAGTATGGAGAGCAGAAGGAGTAGGACTTTGGTTGGGAAATGGGAGGGGACAAGTATCTCTGCACAGGTGACGGAGTGTGGCCTTCAGTCAGGTGCACAGGGCCCTGTACCCTCCACCCCACCCTCATCTGAACCCCGTTTAGCCAAGTGGTTGCCACCCCCATTGGACCTTGTATGTTAGGGTCCATTTTATTTCATTTATTCCTGCTGATAATTTTTAAAGTATCCAGGTATCCATTCTTACCCATGTATGTGCATAACATCCTCATCAGACACCAGGACCTCTGGCCTGGGTTACCCTGTGCTTCTAGATCTCCTTGTTTCTCTCTTGAGCCTTTTACTGTCGGTTCTCAGCAAGGCAGCCAGAGGGAGTCTGCTCACAAATCTTCCAGTGGCAGCTCAGTCCTTAGCTGAGCCTATGGTGCCAGATGTGATCTGTCCTCCATAACCTCTTAACACCTCTTCTGTCCCCTTTGTTTATTGATACCTCCCCCCCACCCCCCAGTCTCTCACCCCCAGTCACTGCCCCTTGGCTCTTCCTCATACCCACTGGGCATGCTCCTGACTTAGTCTGTTCTCTGCACCTAGAGTGTTTGTCCCTAGATCCTTGGCTATTTGTCTTCAGTCTGCCAACACGTGGCCTCTGTGAGGCCTTCCTCAGTCCCCTGACTTAAAACTGCAACCCATCTCACTTCTGATATTTTCTCTTTTATTTTTCTGTGACCACCTTATATCATATCATGTAATTGCTCATTTATGGTGCCTTTCTCTTCCCTCTGGAAGTTTGCTGCTGTTGCTCCCTGATGGAGGCAGATCTCAAAAGCTGCCTGGCAGGAGAAAGGCTCTCCGTGCAGCTTTGCTGGGATGGTGGGTTCCTCCATTCCCTCACCACACGTTTACTTAGCACCCACAAAGTGGTGGTGACAGTTTGTTTTCCTCTGTCTTATTTGGTTTCCACTTGTCCTGGAAATGTGGGCACAGGACAGTGTCTCCTTCCCCTTCACTTCCCCAGCACACAGGATGGTGCTCAGGACAAGTGTGTAAGAAATGTTGGGATTAAGAAGGCTATGAGGGATCAAGATCAAGGTCCAGCAGTGCCTGCAGTCACTCCAAGCAGGGGCGGCCCTTTCCTGCTTACTGCCTGCTCTGGAGATCAGCTTCTGTTGGAACACAGCCACTGTACTTGTGAGTTGTGTGAGGTGGGTTTTGTGCTGCAGCAGTTGTCGATTATCTGTGACAGATGTAGGCTTTGTGCATAGCCTGGGAAGCTGAAAATAGCTATTGTCTGATGCTTAGGAAAAAGGTTGCCAACCCTTGCTGCGAAATTGGTTAGCCAGGCTTTGTTTTGATTGCTGCGTGTGCAGGTTAGGGGGCACACCTCAGGATGGTGTGCTTTGCCACATGACTTATCTGGGTACCTCTTCTGGTTTCACCAGGGCTGCTTAAAGTAATTTGTCAGTATTGGAAATAAAATAGCTTCGAGCTTTCCCTGGACTCAAATCAGTGAGTCACTACAGGCAGAAAGTGCCAGCAGAAAGCACATACGCCATGGAAGCTGCTCATGATTTTTCTCCTCTGCTCTCTGGTCTCTAATAGCAGTGTCAGTCAGTCTAGTCTGCATGCCGTGATGCTTTCCTGATGTCTGTTTTGCTTTTTGTAGGGCTTCCAAAAGCATCAGAGGAAAAGGTTTCTCCTACCCGAGCACGGAACATGAAGGATTTTGAAAATGTAAGTAGAGATGCCAGCTTCTTGTTCCTAACAAACCATGCTTGCTGTCATTGTCCAGCCAGAGCTGGGAGAGAGCTGTGGTTTTTGACAACTGTCTGAGCTGACTGATGCCAGAGGCCAGGGAAATGATGGGCTCAGGGCCTCCTCTGTGAGACAATTCCATATACATGCAGTCAGCCTTCTGTATAGAGGCTACCTGTAGATTGTGTCATTCAGCGGTTTGCAGCTAGCTATTGGTATGTTTGTGGTGTCTGGAAGATAAGAACATTGCTGTATTGCACAGTGCAGGCAAGCTAATACTCGCTGAGCATCTTGTAGACAGTTAAGGTGCAGTGTTTATGTCTGTAGTTGGTGCTTGCTTCAACCCTTGAGGTGTTTTGTATTGTCCCCATTTTATAGATAAGGAATCCTCACACTAGAAGAGATTCATTTATGGCCATATAATGTAGGAAGGTAGAGCTAGGATTTGAATCCACATCTTTAATGATTCCAAAGCCATTATTCTTTCTAGTGTGTCATGTTTCCCCTCGCATTTTGTAGACTTGCTGCTGAATGGAATGTGTAGCCTGTGCACAGCACTGTGCAGCAATTGTCTGAGAATGGATCGCTTGGTGATGGATTTGGCCTCCATGCTAATGTCTTCCAGCATTGCATCTTGCATTTGTTTGTGGAGGGAGCTTGCTGTCAAGGAACAGGGAAATAAGGCTATTCTCCCAATTCCAATTCTTTTTAACAAGTTACCTGCTCCATGCTCCCATTTATCATGGGAAGAATTAGACCCTTCTTCATTTGTAACCAAATGAAATCCATACTATGCAAGACACAGGAGATATTTATCAGAGAGAAGACGGAGGACACAGAGAGAAGGACGCTCCACAATTACGTTTCTCTCTCCCCAGTTGTCTTTACAGAACAGAGCATTGCTGTCTCTGGATTTAATTTAGCATACTCATTACTGCTAATAGTTATCTGCAAACCACCAGTGACCAATTGAAGAAATGACTTGTCAGATCTCTAATGGAAACAAGTAATTTCTGAGCTTTGAGTTGTTATAATTTCAGCTGTACAATGCGATCTATGCTATGGGTCTGGGGCCTCAAACGAGAAAGAGATTTGATTATTCCACATGGTGTATAATTAAAATATGCTGTACTGTTAAATGGTTGTTCCTGTTTTATCCTACGAGTAATAATGGCTGCTGTTTATTGAGCTCTTGCTCTGAGCTGGGCATTTTAAGTGTTAAGTCCTTTATACACATTACTTTAATATTAAAGCAGCTTTGTAAGTTGGTTATTATTTAGTTTTTTTATTATTTAGATTTGAAGAGTACATCATTAAATTGTATTTCTAGATGGGGAAACTGAATAGCATCTAGAATTTTGGTTTTGCATGTGTCTTTCCAACTGGAAGGGATTCTGAATCCAGCCCTCTTCCTTAGATATAGGAGAAACTGAGGGGATGTGACGGGATAAAAGCTTTTCCAGAAGCCACTGGGTGTTGTGGGCCACAACTTTGGAAGCCAGGCTGCCTATTGGGTGACCTTGGGCCAGTCACCTGACCTTTCTGCACTTTTCTGTACTTTGACATGGGCTTGCACAGCCTTTCGTATGGTTGTTCGGAAGATGAATGTGCAAATCACGTATTCCCAGCACCCTCTCCGTGTTAGCTGTCTCCTTCTCCAGTTATTATATTTGGGACTGACATTTTTTTCTCTGCTTTGCCATGTGATTCAAGTTCCTTTTCCTGAGAGTTCTTGATGGCTTGAATCTTGTTTTCCTTGAAGCTGAGGGAGAGCCTTCCATTGCCAATATATTTTAGGATTTATGTTTTTTTCTTTATGATTGTGGTCCTTTGGCTGCTGTTAGGTTTTTATGATATTAATATTTTTTATTGTAGCATTTTCAAGAGCAAATTCTGCAGCTGAAATCGAAATGACCACCCTGCTCTCGTGTCTCCCTTTCAGGTCTTTATAAGCCACTGACATTTTTTCATTTGGCCTGAGCTTAGCTGTCTATGTGGAGGTCATCTGACCTTCCAGTGGGATGCTATAGAACTGTTCTTGGCATCTAGGCCAGTTTCAGAGTCAGCCTGCATATTAAAGAGGGGGCCAGAATACTCTTTGAATTAAAGGGAAACTCATGATTCCTCTTACTCCAGTTTCTGATGACTGCCTGAACATCAGCAGTTGCATTAGCTAGGGTCTGGTGAGACAGGGGCCCAAGTTCACCTTGGTACATATTGTCACCCCAGTGCCCATTCCTCAGGAGACGAGGAACCTGGGGTGCCTTAGCCCAGATGAGTTTGCCAGTGAGAGGCTCTGGTCTAATTGGGTGGATGGGACTACAGGGTGGTGGTGTAGTGAGCTGAGGACAGGGCGCTGTGGCCTACAGAGGATGGACTCTGAACGTAAGTGGGCTTCAGGCAGGACATCAGGGACTGGGCACAAGGAGGAGCGACCAGCCTAAGGACTCAGGTGCAGGGCAGGTCGCAAGAGTTCAGGGACCATGGGATGCCTTTTGGTCAGAACAAGGTTGTGTGAGGGACATGAAGCCATCGGGGCAGACATGGGTCAGAGCCTCCAGTGTTGACAGACACACTGCTTGGTTTGACTTTGCCCTGAAGATAAAAGGTAACCAATGACAGATGTTAGTCTGTCATGACCAATATGGTGCTTTCAAAAGATTACCTCAGCTGGGTGCTGGCGGCTCATGTTTGTAATCCTAGCTACACAGGATGTTGAGATCCAGAGGATCGCAGTTCAAAGCCAGCCCAGGTGGAAAAGTCTGGGACATTCTATCTCCAAAAATGTGTCACTCTTATTTGACACCTGGGGGCTGGAAGCCCAAAGGGGTGGGACTCAGGCTTCAAATCCAGGTCCTCTGGCACAAGAAGTCACTTCTACTATGTTCTGTGTGCTGGACAAGCATTGCTGACACGTGAAGGGATTTGCTCTGGTACTGCAATGTCCATGCTTGTGGTAGCTGAGGCTGCCATCACTCATGCGGAGCTGGTGTGTCAGTTCAGACTTTCGTGGGGTCTGTCTTGTTGGTCCTTCCCTAGTTGGGAATGTAGAGGGGGCTCCCTGGGCTGGAGAGGGGCTAGCAGAGGCCACATTTTGTGAAGGCCTGGACTTACCTGCTGTGATAAGTTTTGGGCACTGAAACCTCTCTCTCTTCTTTAGGAGATTAAGGAAGACCTTACTGTATGTAGAGGAGTTCAACTCTGGCTCTCCCCAGAGAATGACACTGATACCCCTTCTATCACTGATGGAAGGCATTGTTTTCATAAAGACTTGTAGAGTGCTGGTGTCTCACGCCTGTAATCCTAGCTACCTAGTAGGCTGAGATCTAAGGATTGTGGTTTGAAGGCAGCTTGGGCAGGAAACTACATGAGATTCTTATCTCCAATTTTGCCATTCAAAAGCTGGAAGTGGAGCCTTGGCTCAACTGGTAGAGCACTAGCCCTGTGCAAAAAAAAAAAAATTCAGGGATGGCACTCAAGCCCTGAGTTCAAGCTCCAGGACTGGTGTGTGCGTGTACACACACACACACACACACACACACACACACACACACACGCACACACACTGAACTTGTATTAAAAATGGGTATTTTGCATCACAATTTACGCAACTGCTTACTATGTAGGACATTCAAGTTGTTTTTTACTTCTTGCTGTTGCAAAGTTTTGTCAAATATCCTTGTGCACACGATTCTTTTTCTAGTTTTGAATAAATGCCTAGAAATGGAAATTTCAGTATAAATTAGACACAACAAATAGTAGTAGGATTAATTTCTGCTGGCCTCTTCACTAAGAAACTGGGGAAACCCTTAGCCAGATGGGGCCGAAACACCTGTCTCATCCTGTCTCCATCCTGTCTTCACTTAGTCATCTACTCAGCTGCCCAGACATGTGGGTGCTCTTGTGCTGAGGCCCTTTTTCCTACTTGTTGAAAATCCTCAGTCTCAGTTGAAGTAGCCTGTCAAATCTGAACATTTTCTCTGGTCTAGCAGGGAGGCTTACCCCTTCACATGTGCTCTGCAGTATCTGTGTCACGGGTGCCTTATCAGCATGGAGTAGCCCCGCATTCTTGAGCTCACCCCTTTTGCACAGAGCTGACGCTCTCACAGTCATGATGTGTGAATAGAACAAGGACTTGAGGATAATGAGAACTGGGTTTAGATCTGGCTCAGACACTTACTGATCTGGGCCCTTACATAGGTGGCTTCCAGAAACTCATGTGTAAAGAGAGGCCAGTAGAGTCTTTCTGAGATATGTGAGGGTTTCCTGAGCAGTAGACCATAGCCTGAGACCTCCAGTGTGATGGGTATTTGGGAAGTGCTGGCTTTCACTCAAGTTCTCTCTACTAAGCCCCTGCCCCTGCCTTCTGCCCATTGTTTATTTCTTGCCAATCCCTTTTTTTTTTTTTTCCCCCTTTGTTGTTGTTGTTGGTTGTGAGGCTTGAACTTGGGGCCTGGATACTGTCTCTTCGTTCTTTATACTCAAGGCTAGTGGTTGAGTATACTACTGCCACTTTGAGCTGTAGTGCCACTTCTGGTTTTCTGGAGTCTCATGGAATTTCCTGGCTTTGAATCCTCAGATTTCAGCCTCCTGAATGGCTAGGATTACAGGCGTGAGCCACCAGTGCCCGGCTTAAAATAATTTTTTTCCTTTGGAATAAAGTCCCTCACTGCTTGCCATGGTGTAAGATCCTGCCCTGTCTTTTGAGCTTGGCATGTATGTCATTTGATCATAGACTGCTCCTCCGGCACCTGGCTTGTTTCTGTGTGTCAGGCCCTCCTGCTCTCTGCCTGGGATGCCCTCTCTCCTGTTCCTTGAATGTCTGGCTCCTGGACTTTTGTGTCTCAATCTTAATATGATGTGGGTAGAGAGGCTGTACTAATGCCCTCCACTGGTTTGTTACTCTCTTCTGGTGAACACTTATTACTATGTCTTTTCTACCATGACTGTCATGTCTTTATTTGCTTATTTATCTTAAC